TGGTCCTTACGGTCTCACTCAGTTCCAAACGAGTCTTTCAGTATGTAATAGTCTTGCTGTCTGTTAAACAATATTTAATGCGATTTGTATAATATAATATGTTAAATTTCGTATCAGTAATATAACACTGGCTGTAAAATATATCATTGTATAGTAATAATAATTAGTTTATCATAAGTTCATTAAAATATTTTCAAACATTAGATGATAATATAATTTGGAATTATATATGAATACATATTACATATAATACATAATAATATATATTATATAATGTATAATGTATAGGTATGTATTTTTTTACAAGTGCTTTAAAAAAAACCTTAGTCTAGTTACGAGTTATTGTTTAGACTAGGTTTTGGATGAAATTAATTAGAAGCTTAATTTATTCCTGTTTCAATACATTATTATTATTGTTATTATATTTTTTTTTTTTTGATATTAAGTATCGGCAACTATGACCATTAGAATTTTGTAGGGGGGATTACGATTGGTTGAGGAACACGTGTATGCTGGGCGAGGAAAGATTCGTCTCTAAAAACTCAGGCGATTTCCATCCCAGAACTGGCGACGCCGGCCGATGTTTGATCTCAGAACACGTCAATGACTGAGGTCAACCACCGAGTCACATCAGGCCCTCGAGAATACATTATAAAATTGTGAAATTGATATTTTACTACTTTCATTAAATTTGGATTCTTGTTTTTTTAATTTTAACTTAAGTTAAAGTTTACTTAAGTGTAAGTAGATTGATGAATAAAAATCAAATTATTTGTTGATAAAATATTGTAAAGTCAATAGTTTTACTTTGATAATCAGTATCAAAAAAGGATTTGACAACATTAAAAATTACCATAATTAATTACTTTTCTAAAACTTGTCGGTAAAATATTAATCAAACCAAAGTTATAATTATTATTCTTTATGAAATGTGCTGTTAGCCTTTACAAGTACTTAAAATCGGCTATAATATTTTTTTCATTGTTAATATTGATCGAATTTGACAAAAAAATATAAAATATTGATGTAGGATATTATATAATATATATATATATTTTGACACTTATAATTAAATTAATTTTTATTAATTTAATATTCATTAATTAAAGTTTAAGTATATATTTTAAGGCTTGAATTACGAAATTTTTTTGATATACCGAGTGATTTATCACGTCAGTTATTTAATGACGAGGTAATTTAAACTCTATTATCCAATAATTCTCTTTTATATAAAATGTAAAAAGAAATCTTTATCGTAGGTATTTCGCATAGGTCCGGATTAATTTATTGAACTTCAATAATTTTGAGGGACGTAGATATTTTAGTAACTAAGTAACATGTGCGACATTTTCTGCAAAATCTATGTTTGCGAACTGCGTATTTAATAGATACCTACTTGATAAAAATATACATTTTAGAATAATCCTATAAACATGCTACATGCCATACTACCGTAGACATTATTTATTAAAAATTGAAGATCCTCAGATATCAGTCAAATTTAATCGTTCAATATCTATTTAAATAGTGCAAAATTTACTAAAGGGCCTTTGCATTCGCCAGTAATTATTAATTCATAATTGAAAAACAAAGATCTCGTCGTACTAAAAATTAAAACTGGGTATAAAACTATAACTTTAATTATTTTATACCGTATGAGTAGTATAATAATCTAGTCATGTAATCATATCTAAATACTAAATAGTAGTCCATTTTTTTTTGACTTGTGTTTTTAGATTTTTTTAGCAGTATAACTTGGAATGAAAGTATGAAACAACAAAAAAATATCAATATACGGTGATATTATTAAAGCAACGAACGGCCGAGTCAACTGCTATAAATATACATTTTTTAATAATGATGATTGATAAACATTTAATTTATTTTTAATATAAGAAAACTAATTATTCAATAAATTATAATTATGTTAGTAAGATTAATACGTTTACTGGAATTTAATGATTAGGTATAGTAGATTAACTTTTATTTTAATGTGGCTGGTGAAGTGAGATAATCGACAGGCGGTTCTAAATTATTAGATTAAATATTGAACTCTAAACTCGTGTTAATTGAGTTGCTAAATTAATGTACTTGCATTCAATCTGTAGGTTCATAATATTATATATATATATATACATAAATATATATATATTACCCGATGTAAACGGGAGTTTGATTTATATTAATAATTCTAAGCGAAGGGATGATTAACTACACCACGCGTTATGCGTTTGTGTGATTATAAGTATCCAACTATATATTTAGCAATACATTTTCTTTTTTTCTAATCATTTAATAATATTATATAGATTAATATATTTAATTTTATGTACAAACGTTCGTATATAAATGTATGTGAGCATTTTTTAGGTCAATATTTAAGAACGAGATAATTTATTAAATTTTCAACCATTCACAAATTAAAATCAATATTTGAATTTGGATTAACTCATAAATTATTAGGCCTTAATGTAATATTATAAAGGATTTGCTGGCTACACATCTATTCCCATTTTTTACTTTCCATTAATAACATATTAAGACATTATTCTAATAATTGCTTACTTACATGCATACTTGCATATTATATACATTTAAAGATAGTGATACGATAGTATTATAAATTATAATTCATAAAAATATTATTACATGACATCGACAATATAAATTAATGTTTATAAGTTTATCACTGTTGAGTGATGATATATTATAATATCTGGTAAGTATGGTAGAAAATAGAAGTTATGGTCAACAAAATAAATAAAAATTGTAATTAAAAATAAAAATATTATTGTAACACGGCGTTCTAGATAGGCTATTTGGGTACATTACTGTCGCGTGGTCCGATTTCTTGAAAAGTTACAAAACACGATAAGGTACCTATAATTAAGGTATATATAATTCTGGTGAATTCTGTATATTATTATAATAATATAATATGATATTATGTCCATTGTCCATGACAAAATCTAAGGTGACTCAGAATGAAATATTAACAATATAAATATTAAAAATTATAATTTATAAATAAATATAACATGTCGTTTATATTTTATAAAATAGTTCTATTGAAATGTACCAGGAAATATCAAACTTGTTATTGTAAAATCTACTACCGACTCTCTACCTATGATGGTAAACTATAAATTACAGGAATACAGTAAGTTATAACTGTAGATCAAAATATAACAATAATAATATTTTGAACTTAATAGTATTTATTACGTAAGTCATTATCTACTTATAAAAACATAATTATTTAAAAGTTGGTCGTTTATTTATTTTTTCATCATGAACAGTATTGAAAGTTTTTCCTTAGTAATAAAGCAAAACTATGAATGTTCACAAACTTTTCTCAGATTCATCTTAAATAACAACTTGACTTACACAAATTAAGTTTTATAAAATTTTCGTTTCAACACTTGGTACTCAGTATTGCACACTTTATGATAGAAATGAGTATTAATAACATTGCAAAGCATTTTTAATTGAGCATAAAGAAGATGATTATGTTTAGATTCAGTTAATAATTTTTAAATCTTTGTGAAACCATTTTAATTTATGTTAATAGTGTTAAGTTATTATCATATATTATTATATTATAAACTATTATCAATATTTATTATACTTATTGGCTATTATCTAATCATAAGAAATTTAAATACAAAAATAAATCCTTTGGATTTTATAAAAAAATGCACATACAATTTTTAACCTGAGATTAAATTATAGCAACTATTGTCATCTATAGAAATAGTTTTGAATGAAATGTATTTACGAAAATTTATATTGTTCTAATAATTTATTATGGTTGGACAACAATAGAAATATTGGTTTAATTATATTAAAATATGGGTTGTAATTTGCTTTATCTAAAAAAATATTTCAAGAATGATGTATTGATGTATAATATATAATATATAGCAGGTTTAATTTTAAATAAAACAAGTTATATTTTCTATCCAGTGACCTTGAATCGAAATTGGGTTTTCGAGAGGATCTAGACAATACTGATAAACATATTTTATGGTGATTTAAAATTTCTTAGCCCTTCCATTGTATGTATCATGCGCAATCAAACTTGAATATTTCGAAACGGAATACTTATTTTCAACACAAGATTTGGATAGACCGAATTGACCGAATTTTTAACCATACCTTTAAAACCAAAATTGACTGAATTACAACGAGCGAAACTGAGCGGAAATTTAAAAACGTCAGAAGATAATATTATGTATTTTAGTATTTCTTACCTCCTCCCAAAAACCCCATTTCAATCCGAGGTCACTGGAAAAAAGTATGTGTGCAACTTTTAAAAGGAAACACAATGTATAAAGATCTACTTACCTATATAATAGTATATTTATGTGCGTTTTTTACTTTCAGATTAATGGATATTATTACTCATCACATTTGCTTTTAGTATTTCTGTAGTAAATCTTATTTGTTAAGAGAACGTTTTTCTTTGACGAGAATTTGAGACAAAAAAATGATTTCAGAATTTCAATTCAGTGTTGGGCCAAAGTAACTACCTATATGATCATAAATTTAACGTCAAAGAAAATAGGTGAAGTTGAAAGATTTTGTTAAAAGCGTATTTTGAAAATATTATAATATTAACATGAATAATCCATTAAATACTATTAGTATACATTTTATGGGTGATGATAATGATTATATATTTCACATTTATATAAATACATAAACAATGTGTTTCTTTACGTTATGGTTATTGCTTAGATATATACCACTATAATAGTATCTCTGTATTTATTATTTAAACATAGATACCTAACTAAAAATTTTCATTTAGTAATTAGATTGTATTCATAAATTATTGCGGCGTTATTTTTAAAATTTAGTATATAAATATTATTTAAAAGCAATATTATGTTCATGAGATATCAATTAAATATACATTATTATTTTAAATTTTAAATACATTTTAATAAATATTTATTATATTAAAAATGTCAGTAAACAGGTTTTGGTAACAGTACCTGTTTGTTAGCCCAGGTATAGGCAAACCATCTGATAACTCTTGCCTCCAGCTCCTTGGAAACCCTCCGGAAGGCCATGTACTGTTTAACGCCATCCATGCGATTCTGGAACTCTACCCTGGCCACATTCATATTGCTGATCATACTGCCGATATTGCCCACAATAGTGGCGAAAATGAGCACACCGGCAAGGAAATCGGCCACCACGAACACGTGTTCCAGTTCGTTTTCCGGCTGCGGTGTCTCTCCTGCAAACCGATGATTATTACCTTAAGTTATTTGCCGAAATGCGGTGTTCTAAGCTCATAAAATTCAACCGAGATAGGTTTTTACAAATAGATGTACGTATATATAGAAATAGAGAGAGAGAGAGAAATATAACATCGGATTAAAGTGCATAGTAGTACAGTGTTTTAGTTTGGACGAAAACCACACTTTATCCCACTAAAGCGTGAAAGGAAGTGATAAAGCTGTAGGTACGGTTATTTTTCTTGTGGTCCAATAGCCGTTTAACTTTAATCCCCCTCCCATCGATACTCTTATTTGAGTAGGTACACTGGGCCACATTTACGTGGGTTAAAAAAATAAGCGACAACAATCGACCAACGGAATACACAACAAATCCTTACATCGATTTTATGTAACAAAGCAAACCTTTTTAGACGGTCCACTAGAAACTTGCTGTAGTTTTGGGCGTTTGTTGTTTGTATAAGAAATAAAGGAGCACAAAAGTTAAAATTTAATTAAGCCGGTTACTTTTTCAATGAAATTGTTAGTTTTACTTTGGTATTGATTCTCATTAGAGCATAATATTATTATGAAATGTACAAATAACATAAATCATCAAGGAAAAGTTTTAAGTAAATTGATTAGAGAAAAATATATGACTTGTAAGGTTTACTATAATATTTTATGTAACTAATAACGATACTCATCAATACTATATCGATTTAATACTTGAAAATTATTTTCCACCGATATGATTAGTGAGATTAATATACGTTACTCGCTGGATAAAATATTGCTAATTAATCTAAAATAGGAACAAAAAATAAGGTAGGCATTAAAACATATATTTTTAATAAGTATGTCGTATACCTATAATTACTATTTATTACTCGGTAAAAAACGTTATTAAAAACAATGGTTTTTTCGAACAAAAATTAATCAGTTCTAAAACGAATTTTAAGAAATACATTTGACTTGGGTTGACATATTATAACTAACCTTCTTGAAAAAAATATGTGTATGAGTAAAATAATGCTCTGGTGGTAATAAATTATAATCGCAGAGCAAGGAGGTACGGCTTTAACATTATCATAGTTTAATATAACACTATTCAGTGTTGGGCTGGACCAGTAATTTTCAATGGTCCCAACAGCCCTATAAAAATTTCAAAAAAAATTAAACCGCCTTTTAATTTCTGCTATCAATTTATTTTAGTTTCAATTAAAATATATTTTAATACATTAATATAATTTGTTATTATAATTATTATGGGTGTGCCGTACCAGTGTCGATTATATTAATATATGAATATTTTATATTGATATTTAATGTACTGCGTTTCTAAGGTTTAGCTATGTTAAAAATATCTCAAGTGACAAATTTTCCATCTTTGTCGAATTGAATAAAGGGCGCATAGTAAACCGTATAATGATCACGTCTGTGTTGGATGTGACGGGTGTGGACGAACAGTAGGTATAGGTAAGTGAAATCATACTTTCATCCGTTCGCGTAGAGTTCGAATAAATACACGTAATGTAGATAATAAAAGTGTTTATTCCGTATACGAAGGGTCGGTGCGTAGTCTGGAAAACGGCAATAGCTTTGCAATATTTTTTGATCGGAGAAAAAAAAATGTTCTGTTTTTTTTCACCGGTTGCCGGCTGATTATTATCGACCATTTCTGCCGAGCTAAATATTCATGAGGCGCAGTTCTTTTGTATGGCCAATCCCGATATTATATAATAATATTATTATGTATGCACAACTATAGCCTATAGGCGTAATCGGGAAACCGTATTGTGTCACTACCCCAATAATGGGTTTGAGATTGACAATGATCGAAACGTAATATATTACTATAATAACACAGATTGTGTAGGTACCTTGATACTCCAAATGTCCGTGAATGATTATTTATTAAATTTAAATTACACGTACACGATGTCGACCTTTTTTAAACTTTACGGTTTTAGTTCTTAACTTTTGGATACAATAATTATTATAATGTTTAATAAAAATAGGCAATAATATTGTTTAGATTATTACCTACCCAATAAAAATTAGACTGAAATGTATAAATGTAACTGTTACTGTTATTTTCACTGAACTTATAATTGGATAGCCTAACAATGTAAAATAATGTCTACATAAAAAACATATTTTCATCGATGAAATAATAATTTATTATTTGAACAATGAAATTGCGTTAAATGGGTGTAATTCACTCTTTTGTATTTATTTGCATCTAACGGTATGATAAAATCACATGAATTGGAACACAATACTCAAACAAACATAATACTATTATCTACAATAAATAGTAACACGCCTATCCAAAGTGGTTTGACTCTTGATTATCAATTGATCACTATAAACCTACCATTCAAATACAAATAATTGTTACCTATTCCTGTAGTTGATTATTTATCAAAATATTTAATTATTATATTGTTGTACTGTAATAGTGCAATTGTAGTGCAATTGAATATTGATTAAATATTATTATTATTATAATATTACAAATACCTACCTTTTTGTTCGTTAATTAAGTTACATTCGTATAATAGATATACCTAATATAAGACACACCGCGTTGCTCGTCAGTAAAAGTTAATTTTAACGTTATTGTACATTTCCCAATGCACAAAATATAGTTTGTAACCGTCAACCTATTGCAAACTACCAACTAACATGTTAATACTACACCGTATAATATATATGATTTTGGTAATTTATTCACACTCTCCCTACTCCGGTCTTTCGTAATCGGTCGACTGGCGTGTTGCGACGGGTAATTTCATCGCCATGGGGTGGGTTTCGCAAAGCGATCGGATCGGTAAGAAAATATTTGCTACCGGCACAGTATTATATGTGTTATACCATACATTATTATTATTATAATACAACGGTTTCGCCACTGATTATTTCCCGAGCGACATACATTCCGCATTAGCATCGTAGCCGTGGCACGAAGAAAGGTGGAAAATACGGCAATCGAGAAAATCGAGACCACCGTTACGTGGACACGATTTTCCTAGGGCCATTTCGTGTCGGGATGATGAATGACTGTGAATTTGCTCCGCACATCCCACGCCGCGCCACATGCAGCACCTTGAGCGTCCTGTCGTGTTAACCGAACGCGCTCGTTTTATTTTTTTCCGTTTCTTGTATCACTCTCTCTCTCTCACTCTCACACACACACACACACTTTGAAACATATACAGAGTGTGCTAGTGCGGGCATAATGTCTATTAGATTTTTTACAGGGTTCTTCGGCGGTGTTCTGCTCTTATTTTTTTTGTCCTCCTTTCATTTGTTTTAGCGGGTGCGACAGATGTTCGGGGACAAGATAAAACCGCCGGTTGAATCAGCACGAGCCGAGACGAATTATTAATCTTGCGCAGCTACCGTCAGTCAAATGTCCATCGCTTTGCATTATATATTGCCCACAGCTAGTGTTATAAATGGCTGCATGGGGTTTTTTCCCCGTTTTTCAACCGTGTTTTTGTTTTAGCACGAAAGTGGAGAAACTAAAAATTATTTTCTGACTAAAAGGTTTGTACAGGTACCCGCCCGCCTGTACAACTATGATTTTATATTTAAAAAAACCCTTTTCACTCATAACTCAAATAATCGTTCATACTCTTCATACAAACGTATATAATATATGTATAAATATATATATTTTTTAAACCTTTTAAACTTTAATGTAGGTAAAGAACATTATACTCAATTTTCAAAAACCCACTTTCCACTTGCAATCTACATTCTCCCCTTATCATTATACCCAGTTGTTATATTAGTTTAAAATATAACATTTTTTTCTATTTTCAACCAGCTGGTTTTTTTCGGCTAATAACATGATATTGTATTTTATGTCGCAGCAATCATACATTTTGTATTTTTCATACCCAAGGACTAATTTATTGTTAATATAAGGTTTTCAATAAAAATATAAAATAAACATGTTGTAAGTTAAAGTTAAAGAACATAAGAAAGAAACAAAATTATATTTTACTATAAGTTAAACAAAAAAAAAAAAAAAAACTTATAATAATATGAAAACTATATTTACACTGAAGAAGTCTCATAATATGCTTTTTAATAAACCAACTTCAAATAACTTACATAATATTTTTTTCTGAACTAGAATTTTATTTAACTATATATACATATTTATTATAATTTTCTTGGATATTTTACAACTTCACTATTGTTTTCATTTTTATTAGCTTTTTAAAATTTATTAAGATAGTATATTTCAATATTTTATATATTTTATCATTTTCAAGTTTCAATTATATACGGTAAATTGTGAAACATTATTATAAAATTGAGTTATAAAGTCATTGCATCACCTATAAAGCATCAACATTTTTTCGAACATTTACCTAAAAACAATTTTTGTGTATTTATAATGTACCAATAATTCAGTTTATTATTGATTAAGACACAATTGTTTAAAATCATAAAAAAACCACATGTCTAATAAACGAACAATTACAATAGGAAAGATAAATTTTAGAAATTGAAAATATTCAATGATACAATAAAAAAATGGTATGATTTATTATTACTTCAAGTTTATAATTTAGTTTATTTTGATTATTTTAGATAGATATTTGTTTTTCGATGTGTACACATAAGAAGAGGAAGAGTTCCAAAAGTTTGATATTGCTATTGTTATTGCTATGTACTCGACAGTTAATAAAACAAATTAGTGGTATTAAAAGTTTTTCTTTTTGTAATTTTCTAATAATTTCGAGAAAATTAACATGATCGTTATCATAGGTAATTGATTATTTTATATTATTATAATAATACGGGGTGCCGCCACTGGGTGACTTCCCCCTCCTGTAAACCAAATCGTCATCACATTTACTTATTGTATCACATGTAAATACAGATTGTAAATATATTATGTTTGTTCAATAAAAAAAAAAAAGAAATCTTATAAAAATACATGACGTCATGATAGTAATATCACTAAGTAATTATGATAGTAAGTTATGACTTCGAAAAACCTAACTATCTGCCTAAAATAAAAGTGTATTTTGTTTTGTTTTATTTTATTTAAATTGTATTGCGAAAATTGTTAAATTTATTGAAAAAATTTTTTATATAAAATTTAAAACTAATTGACTGATTAAACATCATATTAAATAATTTAGCATATCCCAACATTGTTCTTATTTGTATTTTAGTTTTGTGGTTTATCACTATTATCAACTATCATAATACCTATTAGAATTTATTATTTTATAAATATTGAAAATTTGAATATATTACTCATAAGTTATTTTTATGATCAGTTATCATTTTAATAATAACTAATTATAAACACATTTTAGTTATGAGAGTTGCAATCAAAATATTATGTCTTCAATGATTTAATATTAAATCTCAATTACATGCCAGTCACACAACTTATTATAATTATACATCATTTTTTTTATATATATTTCATAATAAATCTAAATTTTAATATGAACTGGCGTAATTAAATAAAATTGAAAATGGTTTATTATTGATTAGGTTCTTAAAAATATTCATTATGACGAACTATTATTCAAATCTATTAGAATACCTACCTAACCATTAAAAATATCAGTATTTCAACCGCTTAAACCTTTGGGCGGTGGCCAATTTTGCATAAAATTATTATAGAATAAAACTTTTATTTGGCATAATGCCCATTTAATCACCTCAAGTGGACATCTTAATCTATGGTATAAACAGTTTTACTAAAGAAAAAAAATTGCAATTCCCGGAGACATCCGGCTAAGCATACATAAGCACTTATATATAATTCTCTTAAATAGATTTATTTTATTTTTTTATTTTATCTTCTTCCTTTAAATACGAACTTTTATTCTACTCGTTGGTACTGCACAACGTTTTTAAAACATTGCATTACATTAAAAAGCATTTATTTAAACAGGGGGCATTTCGCATTGTTTTTGGTAATAAATTCTACGGTCTAATTATGGTTTTTTGCTTACCTATAGTTGTGAGCGTAAGTGTCGACCAATAAAAACAGTAAATATACTGTCTAGAAAGCGATGAATTCCTAGTACCTTGCAAGTTGTACACCCAATTATCTGACCCAAACCCGATCACATAGCTTATAGCGAAATATAAGCATGAGTTCCAGTGTATGAGTATAAGTATGGCGAACACCACCTTGCAAATGCGGAACACGTTTGGGTACCCGGTTTTGGTTTCTGTTCGGTCGAAGAACTCCAGCATCCTCGGTACTCGAAGCAGTCGATTGGCACGGACGATTACAGGACAGGGCAGGACGTATGCCGAACAGCTGCCGGACGGCCACCACAAGTACGCCAAGTCGGTGGGCAGCAGACTCAAGAAGTCTGATTTCCATTTGGACGTGCTGAAGTAGTTTTCCCGCAGCTTATGAGAATTGCGGACCATGAGACCTTGGTCCAGGAAACCTGAAAACAATATTAATAACGGTTTGTGTTAGACGTTAGTAAACGCTATTATTACTTGAAGCGGATGGTTGTTGAACTATAAAAGTATAAAATGAAGAGCACCCGTAGAAATGTGTAATGAACAATTTCTTAAACGACCCAATTCTTATTTCCCAATAATTGAACCACATGCCATTTTTAACACCATCGGATAGCTATAATATATTTACAGGGAAAATTATAGTCAATCGATGAACGCATTTTGAAAATTATTATTTCCGGCGGAGAATAAAGTAATTACGATGAAATTATGTTAAATCTGTACTGTGTGAAATTGGTATTATGGATACTTGAGTTTTTAGTTTTGAATAATATCCCAATTTCTGTTTTCAGAATAAACGAAACTTTTGATTACAAACGCTGTAGTCGTACAATGATGGCTCAGCGTGGCGTACCTACATTAATTTTACAAGTTTACACTATTACCGTTAGTGACTTATCGATTTCGATTTTTTTTTTATGTAGGTATTTATAATCCATTCAAGGTATAGTAAGTAATTCTGATAATAAAGCAAATAAGACAAGAAAATAATTCGATGACAGTCGGCCGACACGTACCAAAATATATAAGAACTTGATCTGTTTAATTGAAATTTTTTTTTTTTTTCAAGCCCGGTTTTTCTTTCGAGCCTTCTGTGTACATAGGTATCTACTACATTATACCTGGCAGTGCGTTGAAAGATAATTGATTGATTAATTGATTGCCACGAGAGTTTAGGGCAATATGATTTCATTACGCGTAGTCATGAGTATTTTTAAATATCTGTAAAGGTTTTTGTTCGTAAAATACTAAATACCAGGCTACAGAGGAGGTTATTTCGTTGGAGGCAGAGATTTTTTTAATAAATCGTAATTGTGCGTTGAAAAATCGTTATTCGCTGGACGTCATCTCGGCTTTCATTTCGATGAACCATATCGGATTTCAAAAACAAAACCCATTGCTGTTGCTGGTTTATAAAATATTACATAGGTAAGTTATAATAATTATGTTATGCAACGAGCTCAATAATAGCACGCGTCGTCCGCAATCGAATTTCCAGATGGATTGCAAGGAACTCGATAATATAATAAACAGGTATTGTGTGTTGAATAATGTACACATTTTCATTGTGTTACCTGTCGTCGTACGATATATTATAATAAGTAATGACACATCACGTCGAAAGCACGACTACGACGTATAAAGACGGATTAGGATTTTTTTCTTTTCAATTTCGTACTTACGGTTATCGTCGTCCGGTTTGTATGGGATCGGTACAGCGAAGGCGGCTTCTGCGGGGTGTAGGGGGGGGGTGGTGCGCCTCTGTGGGTTATTTATTTATTTTTTATTCCGGTGTATAAAATACGGCACCGCATGTTGGTCGAAGGTTTGCAAGCATATTATTATTATTATTATTACCCGGCACTCTGCAGCAGTGCGTTTTGTGAATGTTTAGGCAAAAACGATCGTACCCACACACACGTACACCCACATACATACACACCCACCCACCCATCCAAGCACTCATATATATATTAGATAGTCCTATTAATATTTACGAGACCTTAACGTATAACGTGTCCAAACCACCCCGCCGTCGCCTCATATATATATGTATATAAAATACTAGTCGCAAAACGTATCGGTCCCCGAACGTTATTAATGATGTCCCCCGGAACTCGTTGGGACCGGATGTTGTAAATAAAAGTGCGTGCGCGCGTTTTATTTCCCAGTGTGATTTACTGCCGTTCGTCCCGCGCGTCAGCTATACATAAATATAGTGTCCGCGCGAAAGGAATCGGCTCCCCCCCTCCCCACTCACCCTACCGCGCCTGCCCGGGGGGGAAGACCACTACCGCGGTCCACGTCAGCCGCCCCAAGGAAAGCGAGAAATTTGTCGCACTTGGCAGCCGAATCGTCCGGAAAAATGTTGCGATGCCACCCGATCAGACGCGTGTGTGTGCGTGTGTGTGGTGTCCACAGCCGTGTGCGCTGAAGCACGTGCCGCACACTTGGACACGTATAGAGAACGAATGACGTACGAATACAATGCCATCACAGCGCCGTGTCCGAATTCTTCGGGAAATCGATTTTTCACGCGCACGCACACACAATAACGACGATAATGCGATTGTCCGCAACACACTTGAATATCGATCGAGCTGACGGCCCGCGGCGTATTTATGATTTTCCGAGCGTAAGATGAAAAAAAAAGAAGAAAAAAACTTTACCAAAACGGACGTGGGTATTATTACACGGCGTCGTCGGCCCAGTCGTAGGCGGTAACCCACAGGTACATTAAAGCAATATTTTTACCCCTCTGAATTTAAAACACGATCGGGGGGGGGGGGGTTGTGTCTGCTCGATATTTCTATACGACCACGAAACACTTTCGGATGTACGTCACATTGATGGTTATCGCACGATTAGGTTTGATGAGGTACCTCCTGTACGGTATGCACACTTTATGTGTCTGTAGGTATTGCGCACTGTTACCATACATACCTTCGACTATGATTTATTCATTTTTGAAAAACGATAAACGCCTAGGAATATAAAGTGGACATAATGCTTATCCCTCGTTGGTACATGGTTAGCAGGTAAGTTATAGGTAAAATAAATCGTAAGGTTGTATAAAAACCTAATGGTTAAAACAGTAATAAAATATAAATATCAGAAATAAAATTATATGTTACAATTTTAAACTTATTGGACTATTATACAAGTACCTATGAGATAAGAATCATCACAAAAATATTGTTGAGAGGCGATTTAGGGCCAACTTCGCTTGGTGTTTCTTGGGTGTTCACGTGGTATCTCTTGGGTGTACTATAACGCTCACATCGAAATTAAATTGTTTGAAAGGAATATCATATGATATGATATAACAGGCTATAAATTAAACATGTAACACACACTAAAAAGTGTAATTGTTTAATGTATATACGATGTGTCCAAACATATTACTGTGAAACGGTTAATTTCGTCGCCAATATTGTATTACATTTTATCGATGACGTATATATAGGATTTTTTTTTTGCAAGTGGGTTTTTATTATATATTTTATGTTTAACTAATAAATAATTATAAATATTTATTTATAATTTAAATCAAATGCTAATGCTGTTACTTATAAGTTATAATGCTTTTAATTATAGTAAAATATTTTTAATATTTTTGGTTTTTTCTCACTTTTCATTTTTTTATTTTTTTTATCGGGCTGTGTTTAATTGATTTTCTATACGCAGACTTGGCTTTTTTATTTTTAAAAAGTATCGTTCTTTTCAATAAAACATTTAACACAGTGGTTTTTTTAATAAGAATTTTAAATTAGGTACCTACGTGATATTATTAAATTATATGTAAAACTTTAAATATATTATATTATAAAAACAAAATTCTATTATTGACTGCAGTCATTACTCATTTTCCTGTTATGATTAATCTGGCAGTTGAATAAAACAAAAATGAACCCACTATTATATAAGTCACTACGACTAGATACCTGTTGTATTGATAGATAATAAAGAGACTCGCGATCAGCCAATTAAAAATATTTAGTCAAATTAAAATATGTAGAAACAGTTGTTTGGAAAATATATTTAACGTAATTATTAGCTAACGGGTGCTCTCCACATCTGAGGGACTAAGATTTCACAGCGATATTATTATAGTTTTATACTCTCTCGTATAAATGTAGTGATTTAATGAGTATAGGTACGAATACACGAACTTTGATGAAGCATATTATTGGCACGAAAAATCTTTTACAATTCACAAACCATCGGATATCATAAAATTGATAGGTATGATCATAATACAATGTCACCCTCTAATAAATTCTGTGGTCAATTTATTTTGTCATGCCCACGACAGGTACCTAGTATTTTATATATGTATAAAATGAAAATTTTTTTTCTTCAAAATAACACAATATAACAATCAAAAACCAGTTTTATTAGTATTATACAAAAAATGTAGTCGAATATAATATGAAATATTAATTTTATAATAATATTTTTATGCATCCTAAAAGATGATCTTATTTTGAGATATGACGTATTGCTTCTTTACCAAATTTATGAACATTATATTATTATCTTGGGTATATCTATCCGGCTTAATACTATAGATATATATGTGATATAATACACAGATTATATTATACCCAGGCAATAATTGGTCCAATGCAATTTCAAACTATAGGCCCTAAAAGGGCTTAACTTAACTGCCTACCTTTATGAATATCGATAGTTGCTATAATATAATTTACCCACAAAATACTTTTAACAATTATTTTTGATTTAATTTGTCTTAACCGGCAATTCCAATTTCCGGGAAGGACAGTAGCAGCAAGCTCACATTTTGCCGACCCTGCAATCTCAAGCTTAAAAATACGGTTCGTTCAAATGTAAGATATTACATTAAATAATTACTTAAATAGTAAGTTATAATAATAATGTTATTCACAATTAAGTAATAGAATAAAACAAATTTATCAGGAAGAAAGTTGTATCATTAATTTTTAATGATGGTTAAAAAATATGAATTTAGTTAGTAATTGTCTTTTAATAACATTAGAAATAGTTTTTAAGTCAAGTGAGGTATGTAACCAAATTCACCGGATTTATATCTATTAGTAAATCCGCATGACACAGCCACACACAGTCTGTACTGGCATGATAATAATTCATAATTATAAAAATATTTAAATTAAATAACAAATTAAAGTTTAAAGTATTTAACAATTATTTACATTAGGTACAAATGTGACGTGTATATAGTATATTATGTACAATAATTATGATAGTATGTTTTGTCGACAAATATAATTGCATTCATGATGCGCTGTGTGTAATGTCTGTGATTTTTGTGAATTTCAACTACCATCATTATCGTCAATTATTATTATCAATTAATATTATTATTTCTGTCGACCTAATCGCATCATAATGATTCGTGTTGGCCGTAAGTCTCGTC